CTGTTTCCCATGGACGGCGGCGGCTTCGCCAAGTTGTCTAAGTCCACCCTTTTCATTTTTCCGTGCCCGGGGGCCACGTGTACCCCCCTGACACTAGGCGGTCAACTCGTTTCCGTGCTTCGTGGACGCTAGCCTCGGTACACTAGGAGACAGACGGTCTGGGGGCGATGTGCAGAGGCCCCTCCCTCGCTTGCTACCCCTTCCAACCCTTCTTCGTACGCCTTCCTAGAGACCAAGAAGCTCAGACTCTTGTCTCTGTTACTCCATGGAACGGTGGACAGCTGTGAGGAAAGCGTTTAGCTCCCCTGGAGCTAACCTTGCCCAGCGCTGGTCTAAGGGGACTCGATATCCCCGGCTACACCATGTGAAATATTAAAAGGCTCGTCGTCGTGCAACGTTCCCTCTCGGAACGAACTGGATATCTTATGGACGCTCGTTTGAAACGTGGATCAGAGGAACACGCCTCCTCGCTTCCGGAATAAATGATTCCCCGGGACTCCTACGGCATTTAGGGGATGGGACACACTCGTAATCTCGGTCGTCGGAGAGCGCGAACGATATCGGACGGTGATCTGATTCGTCGCCCTGGGGGGATGTCCCTGGGATAACTGGAGGGAGGAAAGGACTTTTATGTATGGCTTGTTGATCCTGTTTGATCGTAACCGGGGCGCGGTTACTGATTTACGTGCCGATGATTAGGTTCGTACAGGAATAAGCGACGTGTCAAGAAATTGGTGGAAGAAGGACTTTATCTCGAGGACTTTATTACGAGGATGATGACTTCTTAGACCCTTGGATGTGGATATTTTCGTTGGTGAAACTAGTTCTTTATACAGGGTGTCCACCAATGGAGACTGGAATTGCGAAGAAATAGTAGAATCTGGTTTTTAGCCTGGGTCTCTCTTTTCGTCATAGTTTAGGATCAGATTGGTTCATATGGGGTTAATATAGTTTGTAAGTCCCTTTAGACGAACTATCAGCTACGAAAGTAAGATTGTAAACGGGAGAAACACATTTTCCGAAAAATGAATCATCCACAAGTTACGGATTTCGGGACGATTCTTACATCTTCTGCCTTTGTAGACAGAAGCTCGGAATTGGGGTATGGGTTAAGTGTACGTAAGTGTCCCGCCGCGATTTATTTCAATCGGTTTGACTGTTTTCGTAGGAGGATCTTGTCTGATTTTTGACACGATGAAGACTGGAGTTGCAGAAAAATAGTAGAAATTGGTTTTTGGTCTGTCTTTTTGTCATGGTTCATGTGGGGTTAATATAGTTTCTACGTCCCTTTGGACGCCGTGTGTTCCTTCAGTTGTTTGTTATTGCTGAGGTTTCCAAGGGTAAGACAAATATTTTTGTTTGAAACTGTTGGAATTGGCGCGGTAACAATTGAACTTTTACACGGAATTGTCTTTTGAACTTTTCGTTATCCCAAAAAGTGTTTCAAGCAGAACTTACTTCGTTTTGAAGGGGACGTTTTATGATGGTTACGAATCTTACATAGGTGGACGTGCCTCTGAGATTGCAAGGTGAACTTTGTTTTTTTTTTAAAATGAACTTCATATGTTGTCATCTAGGTAGACGTATTTTCCGTAATAAATTCATTGACCTATAATATGTTAGTCTTCCAAGGTCATTTAAGGTCATTTGTTACGTTAACTCAATCCTTACGAAGAAATATTGAATTACATATAAATTTGTCTAACGTTCATAACACCTAATTCTCAGAAACCACACTCCACCCCAGTATAACATAAATTGGGATTTTGAATTTCCGATGATTAAAAACTTCAAAAGAATAAAAGCAAAATAAACTCATCTGTAGCCTATTTTTTAGGGCAAACTTTCCCCAGAAATTTAATGGTAATAGTTGCAAAAGTTAGAAATAATTTTGTTTCGAAGGAAATATGTTCGAATGTTAATAGTGTGGTGTCTAAATAACCTTAAAAAGTACGAATCGTGATGAATCTGTGGGGAAAAAGGAATCTTCTGACTTCGAGGCAATTTGAAGGAGTTCCATGCAACGAACAGCATGTATGTATTGGCGGGGACGATTTTCGAAACCAGTTCGCGGCGAGCGAACGTTTCAAAGTTTACGCCAACTCGTTCCTAATCACGGTTCACCACCGTAGCACAGGCGACTTTGAAATAAGTTCGCGGAGAATGTCTTTGTTAACTCGAAAAGTTGACCGCAACGACACCGTACGACTCGCGTACTCGATTCCATGGAACATCGAAAGTTCGTGGGGACTATAAATATATACAGGTTGGATTCGTTGAAACGTTCTTAATAATGCGGGAATGGCTGCCTTGCTCTTGGTAAAATGTTTCGTGCGACCGGTATCGAGCTTAACTTCGAATAGTGCACTTATGATACTGCTACATATAGCGTGCACCAATAAGTAACCCACTGTTTCTTAATGAAATCGGGATTCGATTCTCTCAGAGCCTAGAATCTACATCATTTCATTTATATTCGTGATAATTTCTGAACATCTTACTGAAATGAATGGTAATAAAAATTGTTAAGTAAGAATCCAGGTGAAATGAAAACCTTGTTAAGCTTTATTAAATATCCTGAATCCTATAAATGCATGGAATCTGCCTCTTTTGTTATAACTTGTAATTTTCAATCGGAAGAATGGGATTACTCGTAATATGATTGGTTGGTGTAATTAATTTTAATAATTAACCGAGCCTGGGTTCACTTCTCGAGCGAAAATGTAACTAAATTGCGAAAAGATATATTTTACCAGGTATGTTTCCTAGTAAAACAAGTAAAAGGATAAACGTTTCATATAGGATAGTATAGGAATTTGTATTTTGGTCGCTATCGTAATTGAGAATCGTTACTTACATACATTTGTATTTAATTGTCGACTTAATTTGGCCACAATCTATTAAAACCCTACTGTTAATATTTAATCTTCGAAATACAAGGTAGTGTCCTTTTTCGATTACAAATATAATTTTTTATATCTTCGAGTGTGAGACACTTTGTGAAAATATATTCAGCAATTCAATTCTTCACACGAGATTTTCGTCGTGGAAAAAAATAATCTTATGTGTATTTTATTCGAAGAGAACTAATTAACAAAAGAAATGATAGAGATTCAAGAAAAAAATATATAAAGATGACACTAGAATTCTACACAACACAATTCTCTTTTCTAATATTTCTTTTCATTCAAATTTCCAATATTTTATAGTACCTATACCTGTCGAGAATAATTTAAAAAAAGTAGAATTCTCATTTTGTACTCTACCATACAGTCCAAACACATTAGAATTACCTATATACCAAGAACATAATCGTATCTTCTATATTTTTCCTGAACAAAATGGAGGCTGAAGGGTCGATTTCGTAGATTTATCCTGTAATACTTTTTGAATTCCCGTCTACCTAAATATACAACCTCATTATTTGTTATACCTACATTTAAAAATATATTTGCCACAGTTTTTACATTGTTCCTCTTGTTACACGTATTTGATTTGTAACTTAATTCTTTATTCGTGCTTTTCAAGCAAAGGACACTTCATTGTCCCCGAAGCCCATAAAATCGAGCTTCACGTCCTGTATTTCAGAAGGCCAATGAATAACATTTGTGTAGGTACCTCATGAATGATCGCAGCGTTTCTTTTTATAATTTTGTAGGCGTTGCTCGTGCACGCTCGTGCAACCACGATCAAGACGCTAGTTCATTTTTCATGCGGAACAATAGCGAAGCGAAATAATCAGGGGAGAGAGAGAGAGAGAGAGAGAGAGAGAGAGAGAGAGAGAGAGAGAGAGAGAGAGAGAGAAGAATGGAAAAGAATGTTTCGTGCTTAACGGAAATATATGCGATGCTTGCGACACGGGTGAGAAATTCGAGAAACGTACACTTGAAAAGTAATTTGAAGAAAAAAAAAAAGAAAGTTAACAAATAAGACTTTACGTCGACATCTAGAATCGTAACTTTCGATGTCATTCTTTCGAAACGGAGAATCAGAATAATGATCACAGAATATAGAGGTGATTTTCCAAATCTCGTAGGTTTATAAAAAAGAAGTTAACTACAGTAGTAAAAAAAGAAAGTTGACAAATAAGACTTTACGTTAATTTGTATAATCCTAAGTTTCGATGTTATACATTTCAGGAGGAAAAACAGATAAATTAGTAAACAATAGAATGGTCGTTTTAAAAATCTCGTAAAAGGGTCTAGAAGACTCTAGAATTAAAAATAAATCTGAATGATGAAATACAATTTTCTCTGTTTACAGATGTTTTTCGAGAATAATCAATTTGAAATTGAATTCACATACGTAGAAATATTAGACTGAACCTTGACTTTACTTAACTTATTGTTAAATAAGTTAATGTTTATGGTCGTTAACACTAGAATTTCTGACACTAAACATATTCTATTTCTATCGAATCGATAAATATGCCAAACTTTTGAAAATATACAAATTTATAAATTAATTAATTTCTTCATTTGCACACTGTAATAAATGCTGTGAAAGATATAAAAAAATCCATTTCTGTAACAGTTTAATCATCGTTATAAGAGTACTAACCAGTCATTTAGACTGCTTTAGTAGTTCTAATGTTAATGATTTCTGTCTTCTAGTTATAAAATGAACTTGGTTTTCTTTTAAAATACAACTATCCTTGATTTCACGATAAGTACTATTGAAAGGAATCTTAGCTATACTTCAGATTAATTCACTTTGTGAGTAACTCACAACTTACGAGAGAAGAATTTGTTCCATCATTTTGACTTTTAGTGTAAATTATAGAATCAATCCTGTTCTAATTTTTCGGTTTGAGAAGTTAAACGGAATCAATAATTGTTAAAAATTAGCAAAATCTTACGGAAATACAGGTATAATATAATCAAGATCAATGAATAACTTGTCGAATATAAGGCGATAAGCTTCCTCTATGATTCGCAAGTAATCCGATCTTTATCGATCGGGGATTACCGAGCTCTATAAAAGAATTATCGAGTACTCACATATGACGCTGAGATGAGCGTTGGCACGGATCTGCTTGATGCGTAAATACGGGCCGACCTGGCACTGATACTCCCCATCGTCGGTCAAAGAAGCGTCCGTGATCTTCAGGTTGTAGATCCCAGAGTTCTGATCCCCTATCAATCTTAGCCTCGGGTGACCGACGATTTCCCCGCCTGCAACGCAAAAGAACAGTGTTTATACTAGACCAAGTGCAGGAAAATCCAAAAAATTCGTTTTATCTAATGAAATAAGCATTTAATATAACAACATTGAATAACAAATTTCTATCTTAATGGGAGTTTTAAGATAACGGTAGAAGCTATTTTAACCTGTTCACTGGGTGATTCCTCGATGACAATCGTGTACACAGATGTAATTAAAGAGGATAAACTTGACTCCAAATGATTGATTGTTCCGTAAATGGTGGTGATGTAAGAAAATATGTGGGAAATACACAGTTTTCAAGATAATCGAGTTTCAACATTAAAGCTTATACAATACCGTTATTTATTTTTATGATAAAGTTAATTCTTTCCAAAAATTCACGAAAATTTTCATTGTAGTATTTTATATTCGCCCTAATTAATTTTTCTATATCTTTATCATGAAGCTATTGGAGCCGATGTTTACGGTTTTCGAGCTGCTTTCAGAACCGTGCGATGTCCCTTTTAAAAGATTCGTTTAACGACTTCCACGGGTTATTATGATCTTTCAATACACAGGACGTAAATGCTCGCGATAAAAGGTTCACGTAGAAAAATCATAACCGCGATGCATTAAAGCCGTATCGTAACTCAAAGACAGACTGTAAACTACGCGAGCTTTGGGGGGCTTCTATAATACAAAGGGCACACATGTTTGCCGGGAAATGCTGTTCGTTGCTTTTTGATGGAAGCAACGGAGCACAGGGCTGGATCGCTTTATAGCAACAGAAGCTCCGACAACCTTGCCCTTTACGGAAAAGTTACTTTTTCACGGTAAACGTCTGTTGATCAAACAGTTGCCTACTCCTACCACAAGTTCTTTTACAATATCAGGCTGGAAACTCAATTTTAGAACTATTTCGAGTATCTGATAACTTATCGATGAAAACAAATACACTTAGAAAGTATTCTCCACCAGATTTGAACACATTTCCTCGGCGTACTTTTAAGGAGATACATAAAAAAGTTACCATTTCTCTGATTATTTATATTTCCATTATTTCTTAAGATTAATTTAAAATCTTAATATACTGGGTTTTATACAGCTGTTAATTCTCTATCAGAATATATATTACAGTAAACTTTCGATGAATGTTCGAAGATTCCTCGTCACTGAACATTGAATATTTCATAAACTAATGGCCATATGCGGCTGAAACAAATATCATTGGCTTCAGAATTCCAAGCTCTATCACTGTGCTTAACTTCACTAAAAAGTCAGCGTTATACTTGGGGCCTCTCCTTGTTAGTGCCAAGGAGCCTTCCAACACTTATCGAGGATTTACTGTAAACACGTACTAAAGTTTTAAGGTGATGTTAAAAAATAATAAAAACAAAACAAATCGAAAAAGTGGTAATTTTTGTGTACGTTAACTGTAAATTTTCGATGAGTGCCCGAATGCTCCTCGGTAGTGAACAGTAAATATTTTAAAGACTAATGGTCAGATACGGTTGTAACAACAAATATTCGCTTCAGAATTCCAAGTTCTATCGATATGCTAAACCTTCTTAAAAAAGTCAGCGTTACACTTGGAGATGTTTCCTTGTCAATCTCGAGGAGCCTTCGAACATTCATCGAGGATTTACTGTATTTCCTGTACTAGATATCTTATGTTGAAAATAATATGTACATATCATTGACCTTCATTGAAGTTTGCATTTCACACGTTTAAATTTAATCATTTCAAACATCTTCACGTTAAATAATAATCATTTCAAACATCTTCAACGACCGAAAACGACAACGAATTTCGTTCAATACACTATTAACCGATAACCAGAGCTCACAATATCACAAAATTTTCTTAAATTCCCTCACCTACTGACACTTTTCTCTGTGTTCTCCTTCTTATTCCTCAGTTCTGGAAACACTGTCACTGTCACCTATTTCGCGAAACGACACTCGTCCCGGCCATGATTTCGGCCAAGTCTGTGTTTCTAATTACAGGAACGTTGCGTGACACGTTCGAGAATTTAGGTCGTCGAGAGGCGAAAAAAAGAAAAACGAAAAAAAGGCGCGCGCCTAATAAAGGTTTCGATAGTCGACGAAGTCTAATTATCCTTCTTTTGTGCGACCGTCAGACCGCCCGCCGCCAAGTACGAGATTGTCGGAAACGCGACCGAATTCGAATCAAACAACCGCCGTGGCTGGAAACGCGACACTGACGAGGGTGGCGGAGCTTTTGTGGAATCGAGACACACGCTTTTGTTGAAAAATGACGGTACGTCGCGGGCTCGACGAATGGGATCAGAGAGGAAGTCGTTTCAACGAAAAAAATTATCGGCCACGCGATAGGAGCGGTGTGGAAGGGTGGGGGGATGATGGAAAGGGCGAGACAGTTCCCGAGACTCATTTATATCGCGGGGAACTAAATGGCTGCCTTTGAAGCGCCGGGAAATGAACTTATTAAAACGAGCCTTTTGAAGGAATCTGTAACGGGAAAAGCGCGAGAGATATTTCTTGACGGTTTCATCGCATCTGCATTCATATTCCGCGGAGAGTTCTATATAAATAGCTCGAGGAGAACGGGCCAGTTGATAATTAGTTATGATCTATACGGGAATTTATACGAACTGCTTTCGAACTTCTCGCTGATGAGACTCGGAAAATTGTTCGGTTTAACCGATTGGTTATGAGATAATGAAATTCTGTTGGACATACAATTGTATTGTTCAATTGAGTTTTTTTAATTTGCAGGAAATTATACCTTTTTTGCTTTTTTAATATTGGAAATAATCTTAATTTAATAGAAGGGTAAACGCACCAATGAACGAACACTTAATCCCCTTTCAGACCTGGAGTTTGTTTTAAGAGTAAAAAAAAAATACTTTATTATACATTTTAACTCAGGAGACTGTCTAGATGATGTTTTGTTTAAAGATTTTGTTACTTTTTTTTTTAAAGAAGAATTGTTATGCAATTCTGAATTCACTAGACCTACTAAAAACATTTGCAACATGAAAAAATTCAAATTTATCAGAAAAATATGGATCTGTAACAGACTGTACCAAAGGCTTGTGAAATTGTAAATAATTTCATGTACACAAATGTGACCACCAGGTTTGAAAGGGTTAAGAGATTTTAAACCATATTCTCTTTATATAGTCCTACTATAATTTGTAACTTTTCATTTGATGTAAACATTATGTTTCTTACTATAAGAACTTTTTTGCATTCTATAATTAACGAAATTTCCTATCTATATGTCAGATAAATGAAATTTTTTAATATCTGTGTACTTTCATACTACCGTATTCCCTTTCTATACATATGTTTTATTTTATTAAGATTTAATTTGTATTGAAATATGCTACAGGAGGAATAAAAATAAATAGTGTGTATGTTGTTTTACTTACTTTGTTGTATGACGTAAGCGAAGCCATCTTTGGCCCACTGTACAATGCCAACTCGGTTCCCAACCTCGCAAGTTATCGTCACTTCTCCACCTTCAAGGACTGAGCTATTACGTGGTCTGACCCGGAAGTACTGGCTCCCTTCACCTGGAACAAAAATTGCGAAGGAAAATTAAATTTACCGTTCTTAAATGGCAATCATCGGTGACAACTAGGAATAATAGATGTCGATTTATTTTCAGCGAAGAAAGTTCTATTTCTTTGGCAAGAAAGTGACATAATTTAAATTTACGTAATTTTTACGAAAGTCTATTATGATAATTTTAATTTACCTATTTTTTATCAAGATATACATTAAAGTAGCGTTAGGTGTTGGATATTGGATCTTTTCGAAGATAACCCCTTAAATTTGATTAAAAATGACGGATTGTCAAGTGGTATATTTGATACCTTCGTTAATGATGTTATATGGCCTTTTAAAAAATTATTTTCCTATCGGGAATAGGAAGTTGAAACTTAATTGGATATTAATCCCACTCGATGGGGGATGACAAACTTTTATAGTCTCTAGAACTTAAAATGTCAATTGAACGAAGACACATGACATAACGATAATATTGTAGTTTTCTATTTTAGAAGAAGCTTTAGAATAATTGACAGGATGTTTTTATCTCTCGTCAGAAATTATTCAGGTCAACATGACGACGTTGAATCTGGAAAAGAAGATTGTCTTCAATTTAAATGTTGAAGGGAGATCGAAGTTAATAAAAAAAGATCGTTTAAATGGTGCAATCAATGCCAAGAAGTAGATTCGTGAAATCGAAGTGGGTATTGAGGAAAGAGTATCGGGAGAGTTCGAATGAAGTTACGATGAAAAGAGAATCAAGACAAATAAGTAGCTCCTCGAGTGTCTGAATGATATCGTAGGGGTTGATCGAAGATAAAATCATGTTTCAATGCATCTGTTCGGTTTGAAAGAAGTTTCTACGTTGTTACGTATGGAAGTTGATAATGAAAGTAAAGTATTACGTTCGATTAAAATCATTTGTACGTGCACACTAGTAATAAAAAGTCTAAAGAAACTTTCGTTTCTTAGATGAATTGAGATTTCGCACAAAGGTAGAGCTTCTTTTCATAGAAATATATATTGCAAAATAATTAATGAAAACTGTAGTCGTGTCGTAAATATTCGTTGCATAGGAAGATGTACCAAAATTTGAAGCTGTAGTTAAAAAAATGTATATTTTATAACTGGACTAGACTATTAGGACTGTATAAATTCTTTCTGTGATCTTTTGAACAAAATTAGCACTAGTCTCCTGTGGTGCCGATGTTTCACTCCTTTCACTAACGAATTCAGTTAATAATCGTTCTATTCGCGTTTTGGCTTGGTCATTGCATATTTCTCTGTAAAGAGCCATTACATAATTCCTTGTAAAAGATTAAAGACTTCAGATCGCGTTGAAACGTTCCATCGCGTTCCCCATTAGGATCATGTCCGCCAAAAGGATTACCCAATTTACTGGCCAGTTCAGACCTTCATTCACGAACTGCCATCAAAAATAACTTCCTAAAATTCGGTTCGATCGTGTTAACTCAAAACAGCTCGTATAAAAAGAGACAGAAATTTCTTCTTCTAATTCCTGTTAGATCAAAATCGTGTAAAAACAGAATTGTGTGTATTTAACCCGTTGCACTCGGAACTTCTAATTTTCCCATAAAAAAGAAAACAATTGTTCGACGATTCAGTTGTCGGTCGCGAAACAGCTCCCAGGGCTCTCGGAGAATCGTTCGAGCGACGGTGATCCCCTATATCCGACACAACCACAGGCGTAGTCCTCTCCAACCACCCAGAGTTAAATCCCTTCCCCACGAGTTCCCTCGAAATGACGGGCACAACGGCGACAAGATGAAAGACAAAATCTCGATGGAAGATCAGCGTAATCTGGTTGTTTGTCGTCGATAGAATCGATGCTCGCGTTGCTTCGACCGGTTTTGGGGGGACAGGTGGGGGGACACACTAAGCGTGCACAAGCCACCCCCACCCCTCTCACGGTGTCTGTGTACCTGTGGCGGGGTAACACGTTTGCCTTTGTACGCCGGCCGCGTTCGTGATCACCTCGCCCCCCCACCTCTCAAATTTGCACAATCCAGCCTAAATACAGCATCGATGAAATATATAGAGTCGTGTGCCACGTCTGTACCGCGTCCCGATGCCCCGACAAACAGAACCGGTACGCCGTCGTTGTCTCCGACTGCGCGCGGCAAACCCCTCCGGGAGGCACCCTTTAGCCAAATAAATTTAACGCGCCCGTGAACGCGAAGGCGTGGCACCCGGTGATCAACCATCGGAGAATCGATCCACGGTAATGTCTTCGCGATTGATATTCTCCCTATCCCTTTGAGTATAGGAAGAATAGAACGTGATACCCAGGGCCGTTCCTGGGTTGGTGGCCGCTTGGACAGTATCGTCGCCCTTATTAATTTTATATTATTCAATTAAGAATTTGATATGCAGTGTTTACTTTTATTTATATACAGGGCGAACCACGAATCGCGATGAAAATGTTTTTATCAGGTATAGCATGGTTTCAAGAGTGCTGTAACGTGATTGTAACAAATTTTTTGTAAACTCTTTTTTTCATGGTTTTTCAAGGTCACGTTCAATTTTTTGCAAATGCAGTTACGCCTATTTGTTAGAGGAGTTCGAGACTAATTCGGTGAGTATCATAACATAATATGTGTTACTTTGTTTTTCATCTGGGTCGAGAAAAGATTAAAGAAATATTCGAACTGTAATATTACACAGTGTATCGTATGCTACGCCATTGTACGCATTTCGATGTTGAGCTTTTGCCTGCTGTTTGTAAACATTTAATTCCGTACATTGGAACACATCTAATGATATCTACTGATCACGATTCGTGGTTCACCCTGTATATATAATAATAATAAAATATTAATTTTCTTGTTCATTTTTATTTTCATAAAATTAAATAAAGATTGTTTTATTTCACATATAAATATGAAACTAACGTATTATGTTTATAATAATGATGTTATGGTTGATGAATGGCGACAATTAATTACCTACAGGAAGTTAATCCATTAAATATAGCTCAATGTCATATGCTATTTTAAACTGTCCATAAAGATAGTTCCTTCCAGTATACGAGTACTTACTGTTACTTACTGTATCACTTCGCCAACATCTCTTGTAAGTATATTAATAAAATATTTGAAATATATTAACCTGTAAAAGACGGGAAGCCTACTTTTAGTCTCCAGAAGGGGTCGCTTATTTTTTGTAGTACGACACTGACAATTATATAAAATTTGTAATTCGAAAATATAAAAAGCCATGAAAAATCCTATCCGTTCTCTAAGGGTTTGATCACGTTGGTATTTCTATCTTCATCACCGATTAAACATGTATACGTTAAAATATGTAACCGTATCATATCGTTTAAAATAAACATTTCATTATTGAAATATGAATCGTCGTTTCACCGACTATATGAAATTACCAGAGCAGTTGACAATTTCCGAAAATACTTCTGCCGCGTGCACGAAAACCGGTCTTTAAACGGACCTAATTATTAATAATATTTCGATCCGAATATTGTAAAATACACCGGGGAATGACTTTCAAGATGGTTTTTACATTCACGGACAGTTTAAAGAGTAAAATTTCCGTTACGCCGGGAACACGGGAGAGACACAGACACACACTTTGAAAAACGTATTTTGTACATTTCAAGTAGCGTTAAAGTGGACGTTTAAAGCGCTGTAAAGGACTTCAAAACAGGAATTCTACGTATGCTGAGATCCACCAGTGAATATTCCGCCTGGCGTTCGTTCAAAAGCTTTTAGAGTGGTATATATTGAAATTATTTCAAAGAGATAACTTTAACGTTGAAGAGTTTAGAAAAAGACAAAAAGAACGTCCTGCACACTTTTCAACATCCGTGCACGTTATATTCTTCCTCCTGATACACATATTTCTGCGGAGATCTCGTTGACTCTTTCACTCTGTCATCTCTAACCAATAATATTTTACTTTTTTGTCAATGGATCGCTGACACGACGTAAAATTTTTATCGGTCATGATTCAGTGGCGAACTTTGATGGAGGGTACGGAAATACAATATATGTATAACCTAAAAGCATTCATTTTGTCGGAATACATCGATACGGTTTTTGCAACTGTCGGAAGATCTTTTATGAACGTGAAAGGTCGCCGGTGTAGTCGAAACCGCCGCTAGCTGAAAGCAGTAGGGCTTGATTTAACAACCGAAAGTGAAATAGAACGGTCCGGTTACAGTACGATCGCTATACGTCCATTATTCCGTGCGTTAAAACGTGACTCGAATACGGGCATTATGTGTACCAATCCAGTGTGCGAAGTGGGTATACGTCGGTGAATAGTAAAAACTTGGATATTGAAATACATTATGTGAAATGGGTAACCAGGAACATGTATCTCAAGATGTATCGAATAATATACGAGAAATGAATTTTTAATCATTCGAAATGAAAATATTCGGATATACCTGGTACTACTAGTGAGTATTTAGTGGATAAAATGTAGCGGGAAACATAGTTACATGAGAACTGTCATTTACTGCGAATCCCATTTTAAGGATATTATTCTTTACAATGAAATTAATACATTGGCAAAGGTACTCTTTACGTCTCTAGATGAGACTTGAGAATATTCGGTCTAACAGTTTTGCAATAGTTTGATCACAAACTGTAAATTGTACAATTCAAGAAAATCGAATAGAAAATTCAAGTGTGGTGGATAACGCAGAGAGAAAATGGTAAAATTGTATCATTAAAACCAAACGAAAAATAGACACAAATGGAATATTTTAGTGTCTGATAAAAACAGATAGAATAGATACTTAAACGTAAGACATGAAATGTTCAAAATGGACACTTTGATATTTTAATTTTTTGTATTAAAATACATAAGCGTTAAGATATTCTAAACAAAGAAAGTAAAAATGTCATTTGTATGAAATAAAAAAGTGCGAAAAATAGGACCTTGGATCTACTAAAGAAGATGTTGCACTGAATAAACTAGCTTATATTACTAGTTCACGAGCACTTCGATATTTCTATCGAGAGCAGTGATACTCTAGTCACTTGATCAGCTAATCGATCAACAAATTTCTACACAAGGAAAGACCACACAATGGATCTGAATACTCCCAAGTGCCAGTGGATACAGCTGAGCATAATCCTCCCATCGTTCGAATAGCCACACGGTAATCCATACGATCACTCAATAATATACTGTGTAAACTACTTGATGTATCTAATTCCTGCAGTATGATCCACGTAATGAAGCGTTTGACATTTAACAATGTTAAACAGGTTCCAAGCTCTTCCGTTTATTATGTGCCCAGCATTCTCTGGTCGTGTGGAGAAATTGGAGAATGTTATATGATATGCATGCTATGAACCTGCATATCAAAGCATGATCATAGTGGGATAGCTAGTAATTTTCACCAATGAAATATTTACAAGAGGTGGTTAATGGCTAGGCAAATATAATAGGTCGACAAGGTATAATATGTTATTAATGTTCAAAAAT